AAAAGCTAAACAATGAATAAGAAAGACCGAAGAAGAATTGGTGCATTTGAATTAGGTGTTGACAAAGTATACTGAATATACCATGGACTGCCAGAAGAAAGAACAAATCTGTCTTGGAAGAAGTACAGCCAGAATCTTCCTTAGAAGTGAGGATGGTAGACTTTGTCTCATGTACTTTGGACATGTTATCAGGAGCCAGCCCCTGGAGACAGGATATCATGCTTGGTAAAGTAAAGGGTTAGCAAAAAGGGAAAGACTCTCAATGAGATGGACTGACACAGTGGCTGCAACAACTGGCTCAAGCATAACAACAATCATGAGGATGGCATAGGACTGGACAGTATTTTGTTCTGTTGTACATAGGGTCACTGTGAGTCAGAACCAACTTGATGGAACCTAACAACAACAACATTTGAAGGCACCTCCTTAATGAAGTCCAGAGACTGGAACCTCCATGAATTCATAGTCTCCTATCTCAGCTAGGCCCTTAAAACTACTCCTCTATCCTTTCACTGTCCTTGATGAGTTCCTTCTCCTCTTTTTCTCAATGACAACACTTTCCTCAAGTCTCTGAGGGGTCTCAGTCTTAGCAGCCAAATCTACTTTCTAATGAACAGTCAGTCAAAGTTAACACACTGGAATACATTTAATTTCTCATCATCTTCCCCAGCTGTACTTGTTATCCAGGTATCCAGCTCTTGACATGGTGTGAGTGTGTACCCTTCTTATCCTGGGAAAATCTCCTTCCTTTTGTCCTGGGCAAATCCTTCCCTCTATACATTCTCACCCCCTGTTCATTCATCAACCCATTGAAATCTGGCTTCAGCTACAGTCTGAAAAGCATTGAAACTAGTTTTACCAAGGTCACAGTGATCTTCCAATTGCCAAAGAGAAATAATTTGAGTTGACCTCACAACATTTACCGACCATTACTTCCTTTTTGAAATTACTTACTCCTTTGGCTTCTATGGAAATCCTGGTGGTGTAGTGGTTAAGTGTTATGGCTGCTAACCAAAGGGTTGGCAGTTTGAATCCACCAGGCACTCCTTGGAAACTCTACGGGGCAGTTCTACTCTGTCCTACAGGGTCACTATGAGTCGGAATCGACTTGACAGCAACAGGTTTTTCAACAGGTTTTGGCTTCTATGATACTTCTCTTACTAAGTTCTGCTTTCATCTACCTACTGTTTCCATTCCTTCTCAGTTGTCCTATCTTAAACTTCTTCTTTGGTCAAGCATCAGAAGGTGTTCTTCAGGATGCAGTTCCTGCCCTTCTGATACAGCCGACATACTCTTTTATACACGCATAACCAAATATCACCAATAGAGGGTTCTGCTAACAGCAGTGATAGACTGGTGTTTCAAACCAACCTTCCAACCGTAAACAAGATGTAATCAACATCTGTTTGAAGGTATTAGAAAGCTGTCAAGCCACTGAGCGTTTGTGAGGCCAAAATGTTGGAGAGAAGGGAAATTCAGAGAGCTCTTACCATTGATATGCATCCACTCTTCATGAATTCCCTATCCAAATGGACAGCAAACGTATCCACACGTTCCTCAAGCTGGGAAGTCTGCATCATCCTCGCTTCTTCTTTTATCTTATAATCTTTTTTCAAAGAGTTACCACACTCTGTTGATTCTACCTAAATAGCTCTCCAATCTGTCCCTTCCTCTTCATCTTCTGCCACACTACCCTGGACAAATGCTTCATCATTTCAAACCCTTCAGAGTATTAAAAAAAAAAAGTTTCCTAATTGGACTCCCTTCTTCTAGGCTCACTGCACAGGTAATCTAGCCTTCACATGCAGCCAGAGATTATTTTACTAAAACACAAATCTAATCAAGTCCCTCCACTGTCTAAATTGCTTGAATGACTCCAGTTAACATGAAATGTGAAGCATAACAATGAAGGCCTTTATGGTTGACTCCTAGATGCCATTCTCTCTTTTCTACCATATCTAACATTCATTTAGGCCTGAGAAATATACTAGTAATTCCTCCAAAAGGCCTCTGAACGTCGTGTTTTCTCTGCCTGAAAAGCCCTCTCCACCCTCCACCCCTCCTGCAATGTTCTCCCCATTTAAGGATAAAAGTTAAGATCCTTACTTCCTAAATTATGTCAAAATAAATTCACATGAATGAAAGATTTTAAAGTAGGAAAGTAAGTACTGGCAGAAAACACAGGTGAGTCATTTTTTACCTTTAAAGCAGAGGTCCGCACACTACAACCTAAGGGCCAAATTTAGACTGCAGCCTATTTTTATAAATAAAGCTTTATTGGAATACAGCCATGCCTATTTGTTTACATGTTATCAGTGGCTGCTTTTGTGCTACATAGGCAATGTTGAGTGGTTGGGACAGAGACCATATGGCTTACAAAGCCTAAAATATTTACTATCTGGCCCTTTACAGAAGTTTACTGACCTCTGCATTAAAGTATTTTTTAAAAGGCAGATATTATGGAAATGAAAACACAGAAATATCTGAAAATTTAGAAACTACCAATTCTAAAACAAAATTGAAATTCACATGACGTCTTGGTCATCTAGTGCTGCTATAACAGAAATACCACAAGTGGATGGCTTTAACAAAGAGAAGTTTATTCTCTCACAGTCCAGTAGGCTAGAAGTCTGAATTCAGGGCGCCGGCTCCAGGGGAAGGTTTTCTCTCTCTGTTGGCTCTGGAGGAAGGTCCTTGTGATGCATCAGTCTTCCCTTGGTCTAGGAGCATCTCAGTGCAGGAACCTCAGGTCCAAAGGACATGCTCCCGGCACTGCTTTCTTGGTGGTATGAGGTTCCCATGTCTCTCTGCTCGCCTCTCTCTTTTATATCTCAAAAGAGATTGGCTTAAGACACTATCTAATCTTGTAGATCTCATCAGTATAACTGCCACTAATCCATCTCATTACATCATAGTGATAGGATTTACAACACATAGGGAAGTCACATCAGATGACAAAATGGTAGACAATCATATAATACTGGAAATCATGAGCTAGCCAAGTTGACAGATATTTGTTGGGGGCACAGTTCAATCCATGACATTCCACCCTTTGGCCCTCAAAAATTCATGTCTTTGCCACATGTAAAACATATTCACCTCATAATACCACAGCAAAAGTCTTAAATCAACTTCAAGTCCAAAAATTCCTCTTCATCTGTGAAATCTAGAATACAAGTTATCTGCTTCCAAAGTCCAATGGCAAAAAAAGGCACAAGCTAGACATTTTCATTACCAATGGGAGAAAATGGAGGGAAAGAAGGCATAACAGGCACCAAGAAAGTCAGCAGAACACATTACATTAGTCCTCAAGGCTTGAAAATAATCCTCTGTTCTCTGAGACACAATAGTCCTGCCCTCCAGACTCTAGGTATTGGCCACACTCTCTGAATTTTGAGTGGAGGCCCCTCAGCCAGGGCTTCAGCTCCACTTTCCAGGCCCACTGGGATGGCAACTCTGCTCCCTGGGCTTTAGGCACACCATTCTCCTAGTCCATCTGAGTGGTGACTCCACCCTTAGAAACACCGGAGGCCATGGCTCCACTCCCTTTGAAACCCAAGAGGTCTTGGCCATACTTTCTGAGACTGAGGCAGCTCAGCTTCCTGTGTTCCTTGTCTCTTCAGCTTCTGCTTCTTGTTTCCTTGGCCTCTCGGCCCTTAGGCCTCACACCCGCATCTGTCTTGCTGGAGCAAGTGTTCCAAAGCTCTGTATCTCCACCGGTAAGTGCCTGGAGGCATGACATTCTGCCAGTAAACACTGGCCAGAAGGCACTCAACTCTCTCGCTCCATGGGTCAGCAAGCCTAGCTCCACTAACAAGGGCCTGGAGGCACCCCACTTGCCAGGAAGCCTCCTGCGCACAGGCACTCAGCTGTCTCGCTCTGTGGGTCGGCTCCAGCGCTGTCTGGCACTGGTCTCCTGGTTCTGCTGCTGCCGGTCCTTTATCCATTCAGTTTTAAAAGTGCTTCCACATTTTAGGGATCTGTTAGAGCAGCACCCCACTTCTGGTACCAAATTCTGTCTTGGTCATCTAGTGCTGTCATAACAGAAGTACCACAAGTGGATGACTTTAACAAAGAGAAGTTTATTCTCTCACAGTCCAATAGGCTAGAAGTCTGAATTCAGGGCACTGGCTCGAGGAGAAGGCTTTCTCTCTCTGTTGGCTCTGGAGGAAGGTCTTTGTGATGCTTCAGTCTTCCCCTAGACTGGGATCATCTCAGCGCAGAAACCTCAGGTCCAAAGGACGTGCTCTTTGCACTGCTTTCTTGGTGGTATGAGGTCCCCATGTCTCTCTGCTCGCCTCTCTTTTATATCTCAAAAGAGACTGGCTTAAGACACTGTCTAATCTTGTAGATCTCATCAATATAACTACCACTAATCCACCTCATTACACCATAGTGATAGGATTTACAACACATAAAGAAATCAAATCAGATGACAGAATGGTAGACAATCATATAATACTGGGAATCATGACCTAGCCAAGTTGACAGATATTTTTGGGGAACACAGTTCAATCCACGACACATGACAAACTGGCAATAAGATCTGGAATACGTATGACAGACAAAAAGTTAATAATCTTGATATATTGAAAACTTACATCAGTGAGGGAAAAATCAATATCCAACTAGGAAAATGGGTAAATGATTTCAATAGTTAATTGAAAAATGAAAATGTGTAAATGCCCAATAAACCTATGACAGTGTTTTCTATCTTGTTAGCAATCAAAGGAAGGCAAATTAAAGAAATTATAACTTCGTGGTTTATTTAACAAATTGGCAAATACTTAAAAAATAGTAATACTCTGAATTGGCAAAAGTTTAAAGAAACAGGTAGTCTTATACAGAGGTAACAGGAAGAAAAATTTCATATATACTTTTTGTAGGAAAAGTGACATTCAGAAAACTGGTCAAAAGTTCTTTCCAAATGAAAAGCTTAGTATTAGGAAACGTTCTCTTAACAGACAGTCTAAGAACACAGTATTGGGTTTGCAACCTACTTTTTTCGGGAGAAACATGTGACTTGGATTGTCCCCGCACGAGCCTGCAGGTGGAGCCATCGCCAGCACAGACGCCACAGTTGTCTTCCTTGGCGTTACTTCCCAGTTGCCGATCACAGCCTACTGCCTGCCAACAGAGTCATAGTGGTCAGAAGTGGGCAGGGATACAGGGAAGGTGGAGCCCTAGTTATTTCAGGAACCTTATTTACGTTTATTATCCTTCTTAAATTTATGTGTTGGCTCTCTTTTATTAGAACATAGTTTTCTAAATCTCAGTGATATAAAGTCTACAGTACAATATCATTTATCAGATTCTTATGCAAGGCCCAAATAATTAAAAGAGAAAAAGAAAAAAGTATTTCTGAATTGAACCCTTCCCTCCTTATCCCTCCTCTTACTCTCTTCCATATATTTATATTCAGGTATTTCTATGTACATAAAATCAATGGGATTATACACAAGATCGAAGTCCCTTCCTTCTGCCACCCTAGGTAGTGCAAACGGTTTGCACTCAACTACTAACCTAAAGGCTAGTGGTTCAAACTCACCCGGTGGCACTGCAGAAGAAAGGCCTGGTGATCTGCTTCTATAAACTCTATGGAACAGTTCTACTCTATAACACATGTGGTCACCATAAGTCAGAATCAACTCAATAGCAATGGATTTCTTTCTTCTACCACCACTCACACAAACACACACTAGCCCTTTTTTTTCATTCCTCCCAGATACAACCATTATACTGAATTTGATGTATATCCTTTTGGTCCATAGTTTTATTTTAATTTTTTTTCCCTCTATTTCTATGTCTACCTCCATATACCTGTATCTCTACATCTATATATCCTTATCTCTATATATTCTATATTTATCTCTTCTTGCTCTCTTTATCATCTATAAAAACCCACTACCATAAAGTCGACTCATAGTGCTTCCAAGACTGAAAATCTTTACGGAAGTAGACTACCACATTTGTCTCCTGTGGAGCCACTAATGGTTTCAAACAGCTGACATTTTGGTTACCAGTCAATCGCTTTAACCACTGTGCCACCAGGGTTCCATTTATCATCTATACCTATACTTATATAACTTTACCTCTAATTCAATATATCTATACATTTATCTTTATAAACAATTTAACAAATGTAAGAAAAGGATTACTGGAGTTGTCTCATAGAATACGCTGCTATCTTTTAGTCTCTTGTGAGTTATTTTTCATACATATGTATACTTACTGGATTGTCAGCCTCATTATATGTGAAAAAGAGCTCTGTCTTATATTTCCTTTTATTTCACAAATATGTGTCTTTTACATCTTTGTGCCAAATAATATTAACTGATCTGATGATTTATTCTCACTTCCCACACTCATTCAACTTTATTTGTATGTATATAATCAGTTGCTGTCTAGTCAGTTCTGACTCATGGCAACCCCGTGTGTGTCAGAACAGAACTGTGCTCCATAGGGTTATCAATGTCTACTTCTTTGGAAACAGATCACCAGGCCTTTCTTCTGAGGCACCTCTAGGTGGACCAAACCACTAACATTTTGGTTAGCAGCCAAACTCTACCATTTGCACTACCCTGGTATTTACATACCTGGTGTTTAAGTGCAGTGATTCTGGAGGCAGACAACCCACGTATAAATCCTGACCCAACACTCCTGCACCCTCCCCCCACCTCGTCACCACCACCTTTCAGTTGCAGGATGTTGAACAATTCAAACTCTCAGAGCGTCATTTCTTCAAGAGTAAAATGGAGATAATAATAATACTTCGCATAGGGCTCTAGTGAGAATTAAATGAGAAAATACATGTAATGTTCCTAGTATAGAGATTAGAATATAGTAAAGAGCTCAATGAAACTGGGTCAATTTTTATGATCTGTTTTTCGTTTTGTTTTGACTCTTGGGAACAGCTTCTTGACTTTAGTTTGGAGAGATGCTGAATTAGACTCTATATTCAAGGCGTTGAAGAGGAAATCAAATGGGAGGAAGGAGAAACCACATCTATAGATAACCATTTACAAAATGTTGGTGTTGAAGGGAAGGAAAAGATGAAATGAAATCTTCAGGGAGAGATAAGAAAAGTTCCAAGGAAGTTTAAGAAATTGAGGAAATTTAGCCTGTGGTTAGAGATATTTACAAATACACAAAGGGCTGTCACGAGGAAAGGGTTTAGATTTGTTCTGTGTATTTCCAAATGGTGAAAGCTACAGGTTTAAGCATAATTTAGCTCAACATGAGAAACCTTGAAAAGTCAAGAGTTTTCCAATAATAAGTATTCAATCTTGGGCTGGGAGATTTTTTTGGCAGGAAAATTGTAGTGGGGATTCAATTATTGGATGAGTAGCTGAATGCAATGACTTTTGAGATCATTTTCCCCAAAGATTAAGTGATTTTATAAAGATAGTAATAAAATACTAGTAATAATAGCTGATTTTTAGTGAACGCTTACTATGTACCTGGCATTATGCTAAGCATGTTACATGTGTTATTTCAATTAATTTTCACAACAATCTTATGATATAGGCAATACCTTTTATCTCCATATTACAAACAAGGAACCCGTACATTACTGACGTTAAATGACTTGCCAACATTACACAGCTACTATATAGCGTCAGTGATGGGACTGAATCCCAGGTCACCTGACAACAGAATCTTAACACCATGCTGCGCCTTCTTCACCTCTCGTACCAGCAGCTGGGCAATGAAGAACCCAGTTGCAGAGGCCATAATATTAATGTTTACAAGTGCATGTGGAACAGCTTAAGAGTGATTAACTTTGGAAACGCACTTGCATGGTTGGATTCAATCAATGAGTAACTTGTGTTCATGCAACTTTCTCCAGGGGAGTAATTCTACCATTAAATTACAGAGACATTATTCCTGGGCCAAGCTCTGTCCTCACACATTCATGTCCCTGAGAACTCAGCATTTCATGAGAATGAGAATCGCCTCTATCTGGTCATCCAGGAAGGGTGTGGGTTTAGGAGCTAGGATGGGCTTGTTTTGAAGAGTGTTTAGGGCCTTGCAAGGTCTTGGGCAACAGAATACCTCCCTGAGCACTTATATTTGTTTCATAATGTTTTTAAAGTTACAATTCATTCAAATCCTACAGCCACATAAAGCATGTGAAAACATCACAGAGAAATAATATCTGACAAGAACATCTAGTTGCCTTGTGATTCATAGGGTATAAGCCAGAACGGTCCTTGAAGTTGAGGGACTACTGAATTTTGCCTTTCAGAACCCATTGTAATCACCAATAAGCAACTTTTTAAAAATTGCCTGTAATGTTTTCAACTTCTGTGACACCTTCTAAGGTCGGGATATCTAATTATAATGATTTAAAAACTATTTGTTAATAAATATATCAGTAAAATTTATTAAAATCTATTAAATAACCTGTTTTCTGTAATGCCAGGCACTACAGAGTATAAACTAATTATAAGACAGAATTCTTACCCTAAAGTGTAGATAACGAGACATTACACAAGATAGCAGATAACATAAATATTTAAAACATATGAGCAATGCTTTTTGGAATAAATAATAAAAAAATCATCATTTCAGCAATGATTTTTTCACAGATCCTGCATATGATTTCCTAATCAGCTAAAAAAAAAAGATAGAGAATGTTAAAATTAGTGGCATTACTTACCCCAAATTAAGCAAAAACTGAGTTTTCCAGAAAGATCTAAATTAATCCTTCAGGTACAAATTTTTGGAAATAACTTTTCTGTTTGAGATCTCTGAAAACTGGATCTACAAATCTGACTATATGGAGCTGTGCTAGTCGTTAAGGTTATTCATAAATATTTAGCTTCTCTTTTCAGCCCATGGGAAGGAACCCTGTTAGCAGAGTGGTTAAGTGTTCGGCTGCTAATCGAAAGGTCAGCGGTTCAATTTGGCAGTCTGCTTGCATAAAGATTTACAGCCTTGGAAACAGTATGGGGCATATCTACTCTGTCCTACAGGGTCACTATGAGTGAGAATCCACTCAACGGCAGTAGATTTGATTTTGGTTTTCAGCCCATAGTAGGTCTGCACTTCCCCACCCCCTTTGAAATTCGGGTGGCCACCGACTGCCTTTGGCCAAGGAACTTTGAGTCTAAGTGATCTGTGTCACTTCTGTAAGATGTTTTAAGGGTCAACTATGAGTCACTTTATTCCACTTCCCACTACTGTAGTGATTATGAAAAAAAGTATGTTCAAATGAAGTCTTCCTCAGCCAGGGTCTCAGAGATTCAATGCACAGAGACCCCTGTTGAACCATGTTGGACAAGAAGCATTAGTGAGAAAAGAAGTCTTTCGTTGTTTTAAATCACTAAGCTTTGGGGATTGTTGGTTACTACAAAGAGCCCTGGTAGCACAGTGGTTAAAGTGCTCAGCTGCTAACCAAAAGGTCGGCAGTTCAAAGTCACCAGCTGTTCCATGGTAGAAAGATGTGGCAGTCTGTTTCCGTAAAGATTTCCAGCAGTGGAAACTCTATGGGGCAGTTCTACTCTGTCCTGCATGGTTGATATGAGTCAGAATTAAAAAACCCATTGCCCTTGAGTCAGTTCCAACCTATGGCAACCCCATGTGTTACAGAGTAGAACTGCTCCACAGGGTCTTCTTAGCTGTAATCTTTACGGAAGCAGATCATCACCAGCCTTTCTTCTGAGGAGCCGCTGGGTGGGTTTAAACCACAAACCTTCCGGTTACTAGCCGAGAGCAAACCATCTGTGCCACCTAGAGACCTAGTACTATAGGGAAACCTGGTCTATATCATCGTTGCTGTGTGCTGTCGAGTCGGGTCCAACTCATAGTGACCCTATATGACAGAGTGGAACTGCCCCATAGGGTTTTCTAGGCTGCAATCTTTACGGAAGCAGATTGCCAGGCCTTTCTCCTGCAGAGCTGCTGGTGGCTTCAAACTGCCAGCCTTTCAGTTAGCAGCCAAGCACTTACCCACTGTACCACCAGAGCTCCTTACGGCAATTAGAAGTGCAATTTAACCATTAATGGACAAAACATGGTCATTAATAGTAAGGTGTTTTTAAAAACTGGAAATTTCATGTTGAAATCCAGATTTGTCCATGGTTGGTGCCTTCATAGTGAGTATGTATTCTCCAGTTCACAAC